GGCATGCCGATGCTGTGTCCGTCGCTGCCGTCGGGTTGGTTGTGGGTGCTAGACTCGTGCGCAGCGGTGTCGAGCCAACGGTGCAGCTTGTATCTGAGGCTGTTGTACACAGGGCAACCTTTGAATTATGCGCGCATCTTTCCCGATATATACTCCGTAGTGGTGGCGCCACATTGCCTGCAAACCCAGCGTGGCTCTTCTCGTATGAAGATGAATGGGTGGCTGTAGTGAGCAGCGTGGCCGCGCTGAATGATGGAGCGCCCTTTGCTCGGTGGTGGTCCAGCGCCGCCCTGTTGGAACCCAAGTGTTACCCCTTCGAAGCTGGTGTCCCGTCCAACTCGTTGTGTGCCGCACTTGCGTACCCATCCTTTCCCACGTCGTGGCCTCGCCAGGTCGTGGGTGGTGAGTGGGCGTCGTCCGTCTGGCTGTCGTGGTCCGTCGGCAAAGTAGTACCGTCGGCGTCTTTGCTGTGCCCGTCGTTGCTTCAACTGTGCTCCTCGTGCTGCTCGGACTTCGTGGTCCTCTGTTGGGCGTCGGTCTACGGCGTCGACTGTGGCGGCGGCGGCGCGTCGTCGTGCAAGTGCTGTCGTGGCGTTGACCCAGTCGTAGGGCGACGCGTGGGCGTCGCCGTTGTCGTGTTCGTGGGCTGTTGCCGTGCCACGCGTGGAAGGGGAAACCCTCGTGCTTGTGCTTCCTCCCAAGTGAGGTGGCAGTTGATGGTGGGCTGCTATGTGCGATGGCCCTTGGCCGTCGCGGCGGTTGAGCTGGTCCCCGATGAGATCCCAGAGGTCGTCGTGTCGGCTGTAGCTGTGTTCCGATACCGTCTGTCGCACCATCCCTTGTGCGCGAGTTCGCTGTCCGCGCAGTAGTGTAGTGGTCCAATGGTGTAACGCAGGCAGTCTAGGAGGGCCTATAGTCCTGCTCGGTCGCTTGCCTGTCGTCTGCGCGGTAGGGGCCCGAAGCGCGCAGCTGCAATGTAAAAGCCGCCGATGTCGGAGCCTGATAGCCGCACCCAAGCCCATCCATATCTGCGGCACCGCCAGTCTGCGCCGCGCGCGCCCTCCGGTCCGTCTCCGTAGATGACCAGGGGCGACCCGTCTGATGTGCTGATCTTGTCTGCGTGGATCATCTCGCCGATGCTGCTGGCCTCCCGTTCGGCGGTGTATTCTGGCGGTACCGACCAAGCATGCGGCGTGATGCCACGTAGCCAGAAGGCT